GTGCCAGGGCTGAATTTGTCTTTAAGTGTCCAGCAGTCCCCCTTCATGCTATAACTCAAGTAATTCAGAAACTACACTATGAAGAAATGTTGCCATAAGAACATTCTACCCTGGTAAGAGTTCAATGCTGCCATTGGTGTATTTCTACACTTTGTTAAATTCTAATAACATCTTGATATGCATTATAGCAATGACCCTCCTTGGTGGCCTTCCCTAAGAACTCCCTGGGGGTGGGGGGGTTATGATGCCTCCTTCACCCGTCAAAACTCGGGAAAACCTTTCTGCCGACGTACATCAGTCGGTGGGCGGCTGGTTTGTCACCTGACACACTTCGCTCCTCCTTCCCGCCTCACCTGTCGGCCAACTCCAGAACCTCGTGCACGTTGCCAGGACTGACGCGGACGGTCCCCGTGTACATGAAGTTGATGATCGCCTCGATCGTCTCCGGGTCTGGTCCCGCTCCCGAACTCCATTTCCGTAACTCCACCCGTCCCGAGCGGGACTCCGCAAAGTCGCCCAGAAGGAGAGGAGCGAAGTATTCGGTGGCCGCTGCCAGGACCGAGCGGTGCGCCCGGAATTCTCGCGGTGGGGGATCGGAGGAGGCCCCGCCCACTCCCCCCTCCTCCTCCTTTTCCTCATTGCTGCCGCCACTGAAAGCAAGCGTGACGTCACAGAAGAGGCCTAACCGCCGCTGCTCGTTCTGGCGGCAGGCGAGGTCGGAGCAGTGGGCCACGCACGAAAACACCTCCGAGTCAGGCTCTGAGTCTGGCCCCGCCTCGCCCTCCAGTCCAGGGAGGTTGACATCCGGCCCGCCGCCTCCAGTTGTCGCCATTTTGTTTTGTTTTTTTAAATCGATTCGAAGTTTTCCCGTTGCTGCATCGAATTACGTCACTTACACGATCATAGAGATGTGAACATATTATACTTCCGGCACTAATAGTGGCCGCGTGCTATCATAGATATAAGAATGATTAACATAAAACTTCTCACAAAGTTTTTTTTTCCTTTCAAAATTGGCTTCCTGGATATTTTTAATCTCTGTTTTCTACGTTGCAAAACAAAAGCTTTTTTTAAAAAAACATAGGACAAATCCAGGCTAGTTAAAGAAAACATCTTAAACTGTAATCCCAAATGGATAAGCCACTGTAGAAAAAGTATGTTCGGCTTCTTCAACAAATTGGAGTCCGAAGTATTGTACATATTTGTAGGTTTTTGGATGTTGGCAGGGTGCTTGGAATAAAAGTTTTGGTTATATTTGTAACATATTCAACAGGTTGCCTATATGTTTCCTTCGTGGATCAGATGTGTGTAGAGGACCCATGATACGCAGTTAAATCTAAATTAATGAAAGATGGAGTAATGAGAAATTCTGAAAATGAGTGTCAAGAATGAATCACTGGGAAAATGGATGTGAAAGAAATCTAACCCTAACCTAATCTAACTTTAGAATAGTTGAAAGTACAAGTCCGATATGATAAGGTATTAGAACGCATCTTAATCTCTTTGTCAAGTGTGTTAGGACAAAACGGACAGGCATAGGCATAGGCATAGGCTAAACAGAGTTGGAAGGTCTAGTCCAATCCCCTTCTCAAGCAGGAGACTATATCACTTGAAAAAATGGCTTCCAGCCTCTTCTTAAAAACCTCCAGTGATAGAGCACCCACAACTTCTGAAAACAAGCCATTCCATTGGTTTATTTTCACACTCCCGAAATTTTATCCTTAGTACCTCATTGCTTCTCTTCTTAATTAGTTTCCATCCATTGCTTGTTGTCGTCTTCTGGACTAGGTTGACCTTGTGGCACCCCTAAAATATTGGAACACTGCTATGTCATTCCTTGTCTTTCTTTTTACTAGAAAGACATACCTAATTCCGTCAAATGTTCTTTATATATTTTAGTCTTCAACCTCTAATCTTTGATGTTTTTTTCTGCACTCTTTCCAGAATCAACATCTTTTTTATAGTACTGTATGACCAAAACTGGATGCAATATTCTAAGTGTGGTCTTACTAAGTTTTCTAAAGCAGCTCTAGTACTTCACGTGATCTTGATTCTATCCCTCTTTAATGCAATCTTGGTGGCTGCCACACATAGATCCAACAGAGCTAAACTGTTCCTAAATTACTGGCAAGATGTCTCCCTAGGCATCTCCTAAAGACTAGCACCTTACAAGGGTTTTAACTGGAATTGAATCTGAGCTATTTTATGTGACAGGTGCCCGATAATGGTCCTAGCCCCCTTGGACTAGGAGGGATTGAATGATTTAGAATAGGGTCAATGAGTGATACTGTGGATACAATAAGAGCAGAGAACTAGTTTTGTTTCACCAATTTTATCACCATGAGATAGGCCTTAATAGGGACATGTCTAGTCAAAGTCATCCTTTGTTTACCTGTAGAGGCACTCTAGAAATCTCAACCCATTTCAAAATCCTCCTTTGTTCTTTGAAGCAGAGAATGATGGGAGCGACTGGTGTGAGAGGATGATCCTATCTAGAGCCTCAGTGGCCTTCTGGTTCCAAGCCTTTACTAAGGCTTCAGTAAGACTATGCAGTAAATCCTTTAGGATATCCCCCCATTCTTTCTGAAACCCACTTGGGTCCATCGGTCTCGGTGTATGTCCAGTCTCTCTGCAGAGGTGGGTGGTGTAAGAGAGGATATGAGGGTGTGATCTGACCATTATAGGATGGATAACATTAAATTACCCACCATAACACCTTGCCATTGCTCTGATAAGAATATTAGATCTGGTGTGTGACACAAGAGTCGGACTTGTGACAATCTGGAATAGGCCTAAGACCATCATGCAGATCATGAATTCCTGAGTTGCCTCTGAAGCTGAATGCAGGAAAGGCAGACTGAAGTCACCCAGAACCATATGTTTGGGGCACTCCACTGATGAGGTATGGAGGGAGAGTGCTTTTCATGGGTTTGCGAACACCAGACAGTTTGAAATCACTAATCTGTATGTTGAAATAACAACATACAGATTACTGTACTTCTCTTAACACATTTTTCTCTCAGCCAAAATTTTATTAAACACAAAATCTAGCAAAGATGATTTATTATTGTACGTTTTTATTTGAGTCAGGTTGTGATACATAAACAAAGCACTGAATATTGTTGTGAATACATTAAAGAGCCAGAGATGAAGTGTCTTGTGCATACAGATATATTGAGAGATCACTGTCTGCAAAAATAGTAGGACTTGTGTTTGTGCAACTAAAAATATTACCTGCATAAATGCAACAATTGGAATGCACACAAAGTTCGCACTTTTGGACATGAGCTTATGTTATCAGCTTTACATTTTTAAATATTATACCAGGTTTATAAAGGCTGATCAAATCAGGTATAAGTCCCTCAGACCAGAAATAAAGACTAATGATTAATATAAAATACAAGATACAGACAGGACAAATTTGTCACAAAATTATACACAGCTTTTAAGGAGAGTTTTTAAGATTTTGATCATACAGGTCCATTTGACTCACTCTAGCTTTTCAAGTCTAATGAGGTCCCAGATTAAAATAAAAAGCATTAACATTTGGTCAGAATTACTGAAGTGAGGGGAGGAAGACAAAAAAAAACATGCATAAAGGAACAAGCAAAGACAGTGCAACTTCTTTAATATATTAAATACAACAGGAAGTAGCGAATGTTTTGGTTTATCATTATGGAATCCACTTCTAAGCCAGAAAAGCCTTATATAGAATTTCAACTCAGTCTGTTTTGCAACCAAGCCATATAATGTAGTCATATTTATTGGTCTTCCATAAAAGCCAGTTGTTTTATTCCATTCAGTTTTCACATAGTCATATGCTCCGGTAAGACATAAGAGATATCGTCCCAAGGATGACGATACAGACCTTGTTTCAATCTTTTCTGATCCAGATAATGTCCTAAAATAAAATGTTTTTGATTTAATATTTCTCTTTGGATATAGTCTTTAAAGACATAAATGGTAGAAATGGAACTTCATTCTATTTATTCCCAATACCCACTAGCTAAATCTCAGAGCACTTATGCAAACAGAGGATAAAGTACAAATCAGAAGGCTTATGGTCTTTAATAGGGATAGTTTAGGTTGTTTCCTGAGCTTTAAGGAAGAAACAAACAACCCTTCAGTTTGTGAAACCCCTAAAATAATTCTTCTGTTTTGAAACAAATAACAGACAAAATTAACATAGTAAGTCTCCATTAAAGTTAACACTTGGTTCAACTGCATGCTGTCCCGTCCCCCCCCCCCCCCCCCCCCCCAAAAAAAAAAGAAAGATTAGGGAAAGAGGGTTCAAAAATTGTGTTCTTGTAACCTCTGGTGCTATATTGATGACATCACTGCTATGCTGCCTATAGTTGTCTGAAATTTTGTGGAGAAAGGGGTAGCCCATACAAAAACAGCCTTTTTAGATGAATCAGGGAGCAAAATGACTACTTTAAAAGATTTGCCCAAGTAGAAGGGAATTTGAATCCTCTTCCATGTATATTGCATACACTTTTCTATCTAGATGTTGCCTGGAACATTTCCTTCTTCCCATAGCTGAAAGAGAGTAATTCGCCCAGATCACTCAGCTGGCTTTACTGCATAACATAAAAGACTCACCAATGAAACCCATGCTTCTACCAAGCACAAAAATGCCATTGAGGGCACCAATGTCTATATATTCATCAGCTTCTTCCCTGCAATAAAAAAAAACAAAAACAAATGATACTTGTTTAAATGTTACACTTTAAAATTATACAATAATATCTATGTTCAGAAAAAAAAGACAATCTTTTTAAACCGGCTAAATAAAGTTTCATAAAATCTGTAGAATAGACTTTACAAGACAGTGGCATGAGAAACATGGCATGGTTTCTTTAATATTGGGGCAAGGGCACAAGTTCACAAAATATCCCATACCATATTTTGGTTTAAGATGTGAATCCAACCAATTTTGATTTATTTAACATATTGTTATTAAGTGAATTACTCAAAGACTGATCTTCTATTATCATAAAACAGGATGCTCCCTGCTTTTTAAAAAATCAAATTCCCACAATTGGGGGGCCACCTATATTAAGTAATTCAAAGTATAATCTTGTCGATTATTTTCCTTTAAACCTTATTAACCTACATGCTATATTTGCTTAATGAGGTTTATAAACCAACTTTGGTAGCAGAGTTAGAAAAAATAACTCCAGGCCTTTTGATTTCCAAGAGATGCTATTTGGGCTGAGATTTTAGAAGACAAAAATGGAGAAGGCAAATTACTTTTTGCAGAGGCAGTTGTGTTTTTAGCTAACTTTGTGTCTTATGTTTTTGAAATATTAATTAAATGATGTTTGGATTTGGATAATGTAAGAATGGATAAATGCTAACTTATGTATAACAAACTATGATCCTAGAATATTGGTGAGGCCACATTATGAACCATGGTCTAGATGCAGTCATTGTTAGCATCTCTCTATGGTTAACAGTGATACATGAATGCAGACTCTGTTTATCCCATTCTTAGAAAAATTACAACACAAATATAACCCTAAGGAAATTAAATAGAATGAAGGAAACTGGTCATAATGCCTATAGTGTCAATAAATTTCTTTAACATATTTCCTTTATACATATGCATTATATCTAGAATGTCTGACATTATTATTATTATTATTATTATTATTATTATTATTATTATTATTGTGCAACAGAGATTTATTATAACCAAGCTTCTAAACCATAATGAAGATTAATGAGAAATTGATTGCTCACCGTGTAAAAGAACCACAGTTCCTAAGTACATCAACAAAGGCTACACCAATAAATCCATCAACATTCAGGATAAGGTTAGGTTTCTAGATTGGAGCAGGTTGAGAAAAAATGAGATTTTAACAATAAGAGGAATTTTTAATCAAGATGAAAGTATCACCAGCATTGGTGTTACCTCTTAATGGTTACACCTCAAAAACAACAAAAAATAATTTACTGCATATATAGTTATTTTTAAGATCCCTTATGGTTGCCCTGAAGGCAGAGTTTTGAAAGTAATTCCTAATTCTGTTAATTAAACTACAATTTATAAAGTTCCTTACATGTAAGCTGACATAATTAGTTGACTAAATTGTGCAGTAACATTTTCTATCATAGTACCTTTGATTATTTTGTTTCTATTTAAAGTATATATTGTTATCAAGTTCTCTGTCTTGAAAATATAGGCAGCATTTGATGTTTTCTTTGGGTTCAGATTTCTATGAGAAAGACTTTATAAGCTAATGCAATGTTATCTGATGTCTAAGATAAGCAAAAGAATAGCTTCCAGATAATGAAAAGGCAATATTTTAAAAATAGGAAATACATGCTCTTTTATCCCTCTGTCATATGCAATTTTTAAAATTTTCGCTTATTCATAATAATTAAATATAAAGGGACAGGAAGTTTAGCAAACTCCTGCCATTCAAATTTAGTAATGTTTATAATTTTATAACATATAATAAATATTTATAACAGTAGCTGATTAGTTTTAAATAGAGAAACCATTAGTTTTAAATAGAGAAACCAAGTACTTTCATGTTAAAACTGTCACAAAAAGATGTTACCTTGGAAGTAGTAATTTTTTCCACTTCCAATGCATAATCTAGAAGAGGCGTTGCAGGAAAATGCTGCTTCACATAATCTTTAAGGATCTGAACTCTCATATCTGGGTTGTTGATCTACAAAGTTAAAAGAAACAATAAATGAAACCACACAGTTTAAAACTAGCAAACAGGATCAAAAATATTTTCATATCATGGCTAAATTCTTTGAAATCCTGAACTGAATTCAGGATTTAGGCTATGTTGCTATTAGTGAAAATCTACCACCTCTTTAAGCAGGCAAGCAACTTACTGATTTAACGCGGTGGCCAATGCCCATGATTAATTTCCCTTCCTTCTTCATCTTGTTCACAAACTCCATGGGAATGATACCACTGTCAAATGCTTTGCTGAACATTTTTGCTGCTGCATCCAAAGCACCACCAAAACGATCACCCTAAAGGACATTGGTAAGCAGAGAAAAAGCCAAACTGAAAAGATTTTTCTTCTGGAGTAAGATCGGACACAGAAGATCCTATGATCAAACTTAAATGAACAGGAGAAATAGAGACAGTATATAATAGAGCTTCTTTAAACAGCTCCCAACAAATCTAAAGAGGGCACCTCACTGATTTCAAACTCCTTTGCCTGCTTTGGATACGAATATTACACAACTCACGAAATGAGTATGTCGGTGAGATATAGGTTAGAAAGCATCTAGCCTCCTCAATAACAATGGACATTTGGAGCAGAAAGGTGAGGTAGCTATTATAGAAAGAAACATTTTCCATGCAATCCATTTCCTTTATAGCTTTAGCTTATGGAGTTCAGTCACAAGTTTACCATTCTTAGCAATAGTTAAGAACAGGATCCATGTGAAGAAATAGAAGTTTTTTGAGCAAAATCAAACCTATCCTGGCAATTTCTCCCAAAAATGACAAATTTAATAAATGGGCTTCAAATATATGCTCTTATTTGCTTTTTGATATGATTGTCTTTTTTGATGTGTCACTATAAAAGGAAATGTTGTAATAAATTACTTTTAATATTCCACACCTATAACTACCAGACAAACAATAAATTTGGCAGTTTCTATTTTATCATCCCTGTTTAGGACTGTGTTTTTAACTAACCAGTTACTTCCGTCTGCTGAATTCACCTATTCTCCTAAGCAAGCTGAAAGTGACCCCATTTTACATGAAATAACCAACAGAAACCCAATATAATGTATAATGTAGCTTTCTCTTAAAATATAAAATCCTTTCTTATCAGCTTTGTCAGCACAGCTCCAGAAGGATCAGATGAAGCTAAAACCAAAATGATGTCCAGCCCAGGAGCTTCTACTTCAAAATTGGCATACGTTGTGAACTATAAGTGGACAAGTAAGAGCCCTGGCTACAAATGGTATCATGCACTCATTTCAGTTCCACCACAAATCCGTGGTAGACTAAAGCGCGCTCGACGAAAGCGCGTATGTGACGTCATCACAGCGCGACGAAAACGGCACGCTGTGAGCGGTAAATTTAAAATTAATGCGAAAACCTTACCCTAACCCCCCCCAAACCTAACCCTAAGCCTAACCCTTAACCTAACCCTAAACCTAACCCTTAACCTAACGCTAAACCTAACCCTAACGCTAAACCTAACGCTAACCCTAACCCTAACCCTAAACCTAACCCTTACCTTTATGTGAATCGGCTTGCTTTAATTTTAATTTAATTTATTTTTAATTTTATTTGTCGCGCTGCTGATGACGTCACGTATGCGCTTTGATCGGGCGCGCTTTAGTGGACTGCGGTTTTGACGGGTCACGCTAATTTCATCCACCTCTTGACAATGCTTACGATTGTGAGTAGGCCTGATGTAAGACTGGAGACAAGGTCCTTTCCAGCTCTTGCACAAACAATAGTGTTATGGGCTCCTGACACTGCTGGACCATGATCAGCTGTCACCATCAGACACATCTCTATAAACTGGCAGGCATATTTAGGCAACCTGAAGAGACAAAAATGTTATAAAGTTCTCTTTAAAACAATTGCACGTTGGTTAATGTCAATTATTAAGATGTTATTACAAAGAAAATTGGTAACTGTGTTATCATTTAAAAAAACAAACATTTACTAGAAGCTCAAAGCTTAAGGCAACCTTCTCTAATTTAATGTCTTCTAGTTGGATTGTTATTGCAAGACCTAGGCTTCCCAACCAGTATCTACAGAAAGTCAAACTGGGAGCAGATGACTTAAGAAAGCATTTGTAGTTTCCATATTAGAAGCTCTTCTTCAAGAAATAGCACACCGTGCACTTTAAAAACTATTTAGAAACAGGATAGGCTATTTGCTGAAGGGAAGATTTTAAAAAATGGGTCAGGAATATCTTACTTGAGCCATTGATCCCATTGATTGAGGAACTTTTACAACCTCTCACAATTTTGTCAGCTTCTGTTAAATCACATTTTGTTCTTTCTAAACTTTCCTTAAATTACAGCATATTCAAAGCAAGAGGCTCAGGAAACTACCAAGAATACCTATCAGTCAATATAGTATACACATTTTGATGAAACATTTTTATAAATTAATATTGGGGTAAAGGGAAAGCAGGGGGACATCCATTTAATTATAAACATGCTTATTATAATGCAATTGTCTGCAATATGTCTGCAATATATTGTTAATGTGACATTTGTGTTGTTTTTCATCTTTTTGAATAACACTTTCAAATATTAAAATATGATGTGTAAAAAAAGACTTACATATAATCTGTCATGACTCTAAACCAGAATATTTTGGAAGTTTTCAAGTTTCAAATAATTCTTGCCTCCCTCATCCACTATATGCAGGGAAATGCTCCTGCATTCTGCAGAGAATGCTGAAAAGCCTTTTTAAGCAGACACTTACATAAAGCAATGCATCATTAGAGCTTCCAACATATCTAACATCACCAAAACTATGCAGAATTTGAGAACAGATCTTAGGATATACCTTTTCTTATAGCTGCATAGTATACAGAGAAGGGTTAGCAAGGGCACTATCAGAAATTCAATATTATCAATATTGTCATAGGTATAATTGCAGTAATCTCTGGAAGATAAACAGGTTGCCTGTATGTCTAAGCTATGTAAATATTTCTCTTTTATCCATTTTACCTGTTATACTTTTCATACATATTTATACGATTATCCTGTCCTTTATTCAGTTGTTTCCATTTTTGTCATCCTCTCCTGACATCCATGGTCAAAAGAGCAACTTTCAGGAATTAATGAGGTCAGCAACTCAATCCTCAACTGTTTAAGGAATTTGCTAATATAAGTAAAGGTAAAGGTTCCTCTTGCACATATGTGCTAGTCGTTCTCAACTCTAGGGGGCGGTGCTCATCTCCATTTCAAATCTGAAGAGCTAGCACTGTCCGAAGATGTCTCCATGGTCATGTGGCTGGCATTACTAAATGCCAAAGGCGCACAGAGCACTGTTACCTTCCCACCAAAGGTGGTTCCTATTTTTTCTACTTGCATTTTTATATGCTTTTGAACTGCTAGGTTAGCAGAAGGTGGGACAAGTAACAGGAGCTCTTTCCATTATGCGGTGCTAGGAATTCAAACCACCAAACAGCCAATCTTTCTGATCGACAAGCTCAGCGTCTTCGCCACTGAGCCACCGCTAATATAAGTACCATTTATTTATCCCATATTTATGCCTAGAAGAACCTAGACAGCATCTCTCAGAGAGCTAGACCAGCCTCAGGAATTTAGCTGTCAACCTTCAACAGTTCAATGGGAATTTTATTCCAATTATTTAAAATCTGTGTTTCACAATCTGAATCAGCACCAAAAAGAAAACACTCAGACCTCTCAAAAAAGAAAGGCAAGATAATATTGTGAAGTCCCACCCACCCAAAACCAACAGAAAAACAATTTACCTTCTCTGGAACCACAGCAGACCCAACACACCACCAATCCCCATATCTTCCTTGAAGACCTCAGTGATTGGCATGCCTGCATAGATCAGTTCCTGACCTCGCTCATCACAAATGCTGGTCATGAAAGAAGCTGGTTTCCGAATTAAACCAAGCTCCTAAGAAACAAAAAATATGGTTAAAAAATTCCAAACACGACAGCCTTGTCTTAATTTTCAGTGAGCTATTAGACTAGTATTAATTCAGACTCCTATTAGGCTTACACGGGTAAATATTTTTCCATAAAAATAATATGTTCTAGTGAAATCTAGTTCCAGATATTTTACTACTTGAGAGATTAAGTAGCATATCATGTCCACCTTTCCGATCATTACAGTTTCTAGGATACAAAGTCAAATGATACTGAAAATCAGCTACCTCTTTTTGCCTAGGGATAGGGCCAGCCCTGTTTTCAGGGAACATGCAGGATATGTTAAGACCAGTCCTTTGGACTAATCTTCTACATAAAATAAATGCTTTCCCATAAAACAGTGTTGACTTACTGATGACCCCATCTATGTTACTTAATGGTAAAATTCAAAGTGTACTATCCCAATGAAAGCATAAACTTTATATAATTAATTATATGTGTTCTCTCTCTCCCTCCCCCCCTCCCTCTCACACACACAAATGATTCATTTGCAAGACAGTAATGGACAGGACTAAGCTGACCAGCTAATTATAATCAAATGTATCAGTAAACACTTTTATAAATTATCATCTAAATCAGGATCCCCAATCTGTGGGCCACAGCCCACTACCATCCCACTACCGGGTGAGTGGTGTGTTGGCGCACAAAGCCCAACTCACGTGAGCGCCAAGCACTGGCCTCACAGCCTCACTTGTGCAAATAGGGGTGCCAGCACTTGCAGCCCCACTCATGTGATGGGCAGGCACCAGCAATTACAGACCTACTTGATGACAGCTGAATGAAGCTCTGCATGCACACACATGCACCTGCCCCTTACACAAAACACCCATCAAGTCACCAACCCGGAAAGGTTGGGAAAGCTGATCTACATAGCATGTTTTAAGAATTTCAAGTTCATTCAGCCATTCACCTCCCATGTGTACCTCTTCTAGACTATTAAGAGTAAACCTACCCTTGCCCATGAGTAATCCATTGGCACAGTTGGAGGAGGAACTTCCTGTGCTGGCTCAATTACTCCCTTAGAAACCAGATCCTCATACACTGACCTATCAAAAGGAAAGAAAACAATGTTAATTTCTTATAGATTTACCCAATGATTATTTATTGGGTTTGTGTTACATCTACTTTGAGGATTATCTCTTTATACTCATGGATAGTGACCTCTAGGTCTCCACAAAGCCAATAATCAATTAAGAGTCAATCCCCTATTCTTATATATGTATTTATATTTTGTTACAATTATAGCCCCAAATTCCCAAATTCCATAAGTTTCCAAATAAAAATAAAGATTTTTGCAACTGCTTGGAAGAATTTAATTTCTAATTCAAACTAGTATATATCAGTTAGTCAAACATAAATGGAGGTATAAGAGTAACATGTATAAATATTTGAGTTAAAATACTTGAGTTAATATGAATTATGCTTGATGACTGTGGAAGAGAGGCATGGAAACCTTTTGTAACCAACTGATACACTTTCTACAATATGTATGGATGAGAATTTTTTATGTTTCTTCTGTTTAAAAATAAAATAGAAAATTGCAAAAAAAAGAATAGTATATATCAGCGATGGCAAACCTTTTTTGGCTCATGTGCCATAAGTGGGGGGAACGTGGGGGGGAGTAGTGTGCGAGCGTGCTGCACCCATAATGTAATGTGCGATACACAACCCAGTGCGCATGCGCACACTATGGGCGCTCCCCCCATTTTTTGCATGCTTTTTCACCCTCCCCAGGCTCCAGAGGCTTTATAGGAGTTTGGGGAGGGCGAAAACAACCTCCCCCCCCCCCTCCGGAAACCCTTGGGAACAGTCAAAACGACCCTCCGAGCAAACAGGAAGTCCATTCCTGAACTTCCGGTTTGCCTGTAGGGCTGGTTTTTTGCGCTCTGGAGACTTCAGGGAAGCTCATGAAGTCTCCAGAGGGCCTCTGGGGAAGGCAGGAGAGGCTCTTTTTGCTCTCCCCAGGCTCCTATAAAGCCTTTGGAGCCTGGGGAAGGCGAAAAATGGCTTTAAAAAAGGGTGAACTTAGCTGGCCAGTGCACACATGCACGCTGGCCAGCTGACAGGGCAACGCCTCACGTGCCCTGACAAATGGTTCCGTGTGCCACCTGTAGCACGCATGCCATAGGTTCACCATCACTGTATATATTATGCATCTCAGAAGGCTACTTCTGCTGACTGCTGGCTGCCTGAAGTTTGGCAGTTCGAATCTCACCAAGCTCAAGTTTGACTCAGCCTTCCATCCTTCCGATGTCAGTAAAATGAGGACTCAGATTGTTGGGGGCAATATGCTGACTCTGTAAACCACTTAGAAAGGGCTATAAAGCTCTATGACGCGGCATCTAAGTCTATTGCTATTGCTTTTGCTATTGCTATCTTCATTTTCTTAAGCTCCATATTCAAGATAAATGGATATTATATTATAACTTAATTGAATAAAATTTCACCTGGCTTCTCTTTTTTGAGGATGATTTAAATACTTGTGTTTGTACTTACTTGTTCTTATATTTACAAATAAAAAACAATACATTCCAGTTTTGCTGTAGCTCAGTCTTTCTGAAGCTCAGAGACTTTAAGATAAGTAGCCAGCTAGGAAATCTTGAGTGGAAGTCCACATATCTTAAAATTGCTGAGATTGAGGAACACCATTTTATGTAGTATTCAATTTCCTTTTCTTTAGTATGTACACTTGATGAATTATTCAATACATTATCTTTGGCTATATACACCAGATAAATTCTACTGGAACAAAATTAGCTATGTGCTACCATCTGTCCTTCAGTATAACTTAATTGAAGAGATCGGGTTGTGGAAATGGCTATAGGCAAGATAAAGCAAAGGATATATGAAACAGTCTAAGTGAATTTTAATGATTTTATGCTACTAGCAAAGTTTACCAATCCAGCCTTGCAAATTTTCACTGATTGAAGGTAGAAGGTGTGTTAGTGCTTCAAACGATAATAGGGGATACATTGCAAACCTAGTACCTCCTCATTCATTAGTGTAATTCATCTATTTTACTAAGCAATGTGTTTTTTAAAACCAGGATTTATTTTGAATGATTTCACCAAAGATCTTATTTCAAGCATAATTCATATAACTTCATGCAATGTGAGATTTCTACTCACATTGGGCTTTACCCATTTGTAAAAAATATTCCAGACTTTGCAATGGGAAAAACAATTCTTACGATTATAACATGTAGCCTGATTTATGTATCTGTCTACTGATGTTTGCACAGAGTTAAGAATAGTACAGAATTAATTTATAATTCTGGGAGCAATCCACCATCTAATCCATCAAAGGATAACTGACTCTATTCTTAAGTTCCTGATCAATCTTGTAATACTATTTATCAGACTGTCTTCAAAAGCCCAACAGATATATCATGGTTATTGTTCTAATGTCACTTACTGGATTACATCACCCAGCTCATCAAAGCTTTGTGGTACAAAGACGCCCACTTCTTTTAATGCTTTATTCTTGGCTATAGCAGTTTCAGAAGCCTGATTGGCACATGCTCCAGCATGGCCAAATTGTACCTGTTATCAAGAAGGGACATAAAAAACATAAAATACTAAACAGAATAATGACAAAAAGAATGTATAATAAAACAAAGTAAAACTAGCTATAAATAGTAAAAACAATGTAGCCATACAATCATTAGAATAAGACTAGCGGTGCATAGAATAATAACTGAAAACCTAAAATTAAATCTAAAATGCATGTTGGAATAAAGCACTCTTTACTTGGTAGCAAGAAAACCATATGTACAAAATGAGCCTCTATGTTGAAGGAATTCCACATATGGGATAACCCTTTCCCCTTTGAAAAAAAGGTTCTTGTGGACATTTGTCTCATCTCATTTGGCAGGAACACCTGGCCTCAGATTAAGATCTTAATGATCAGGTGAATCAATAAATACACAGAATGCAAAATAAATAACTCGTACATGTTTTATAAATTTTTAAAGAATTAAAGTAATGCATGTTGAATATGGACAATGATAGTGTAGATTCTGTAGAAGATACAAAGACTGGTTGATTACCAAAGGGGTAGAGAGGTGGTTATTAGATCTTTCATGGGGTTGTAGAGTAACACCAAGCTTTCAAAGTCTCATTTTATGAAGAAAGTGACTATTTAAAACAAAACTAATGAAGACTTTGTATTTTGGATGGCCTTCACCCTTAATTAAAACAGACTAATTCTGACAATGATTCAATGATTTCCTCTTTACTACATATATTACCTCAGAAGAGAACATAGTAGCACATGTTCCAATGCACCAGCACACAACAGGTTTAGTGATCCGGCCTTCTTTAACACCCTTACAGATTTTGTATTCTTCTGTTCCTCCAATCTAAAAAAATGAAACAAAATTGGAGTAAAATATATTAATGCAGTATTTATATGCTGTTCTTTAAAATAAGGCACTATAACAATTTCATCAATCCAGCCTTACGTTTAATTTAATTCTATTAAATGAGAGGATTATCATATTTTTCGGAGTATAAGACGTACCAAGGTTTTGAAGAGGTAAATTAAAAAAAAGTAGGTAGGTAGAGGGATAGAGAGAGAGAAATACAGTAGATAGGGAGGGAGGGAGGGAGTAGGTAGGTTAGTAGGTAGAGGGATAGAGAGAGAGAAAGAGAAATAGAGAGAGAAATACAATAGATAGGTAGGGGGAGAGAGAGTAGTTAGGTAGGTACATAAAAGGGATTGAGAGAGAGAAATAGAGCGAGAGAAATACAGTAGGTAGGTAGGGAAAGAGAAAGTGTGTAGATAGGTAGGTAGAGGGATGGATAGATAGAAACACAGAGAGAGAGAGAGAGAGAAATGCAGTAGATAGGTAGGGAAAGAGAGAGAGTAGTTAGGTAGGGACATAAAAGGGATTGAGAGAGAGAAATAGAGCGAGAGAAATACAGTAGGTAGGTAGGGAAAGAGAAAGTGTGTAGATAGGTAGGTAGAGGGATGGATAGATAGAAACACAGAGAGAGAGAGAGAGAGAAATGCAGTAGATAGGTAGGGAAAGAGAGAGAGTAGTTAGGTAGGGACATAAAAGGGATTGAGAGAGAGAAATAGAGCGAGAGAAATACAGTAGGTAGGTAGGGAAAGAGAAAGTGTGTAGATAGGTAGGTAGAGGGATGGATAG